ATAACCCGTAGACCTTTCCACTCCCATTGGCGCTTTTATGGGATTGTACACGTACACAAATTTGCCGTTTAGTAAATCTGGCCCTTAAAGTATTAAGTTCAAGCTAAAAACACATACTATTAATTCCCTTGACGCTTTCAAATAGCCATACCTTCTAAATTAATGTGTATGATGGCTATTGGTTAGCTTCTCTTTTTTGCACTTGTTCACAGAACAAATGTAAACCTTTACAAATGAGCTGGCATCTTGAATATTCCAATATGATCGATCATAATACAGCTGCTTGTTGCAATGACATTTAAGCTTAAATTAATACTTTTAGGCCCGTTTTCACAGTTAAATTAGGACATTTAAGTAGTTTTTTTCAAATGTGCCTTAGAAAAAAATCAAAAAATTATAAAAATTATAAAAATCACTATAAATAACCCGTAGACCTTTCCACTCCCATTGGCGCTTTTATGGGATTGTACACGTACACAAATTTGCCGTTTAGTAAATCTGGCCCTTAAAGTATTAAGTTCAAGCTAAAAACACATACTATTAATTCCCTTGACGCTTTCAAATAGCCATACCTTCTAAATTAATGTGTATGATGGCTATTGGTTAGCTTCTCTTTTTTGCACTTGTTCACAGAACAAATGTAAACCTTTACAAATGAGCTGGCATCTTGAATATTCCAATATGATCGATCATAATACAGCTGCTTGTTGCAATGACATTTAAGCTTAAATTAATACTTTTAGGCCCGTTTTCACAGTTAAATTAGGACATTTAAGTAGTTTTTTTCAAATGTGCCTTAGAAAAAAATCTGTGTTCTTTAACTCGGTGCTTTATCACTATAAATAACCCGTAGACCTTTCCACTCCCATTGGCGCTTTTATGGGATTGTACACGTACACAAATTTGCCGTTTAGTAAATCTGGCCCTTAAAGTATTAAGTTCAAGCTAAAAACACATACTATTAATTCCCTTGACGCTTTCAAATAGCCATACCTTCTAAATTAATGTGTATGATGGCTATTGGTTAGCTTCTCTTTTTTGCACTTGTTCACAGAACAAATGTAAACCTTTACAAATGAGCTGGCATCTTGAATATTCCAATATGATCGATCATAATACAGCTGCTTGTTGCAATGACATTTAAGCTTAAATTAATACTTTTAGGCCCGTTTTCACAGTTAAATTAGGACATTTAAGTAGTTTTTTTCAAATGTGCCTTAGAAAAAAATCAAAAAATTATAAAAATTGTCTTGTCCCCCCCACCCAAGCAGGCCAGAATACAGCAGACGAGAAATAGGTCAGACTTAGCATTTGCTTGGGCATAGATTTATGATTTTTTTTTCCCCTAGAGACCTTAATTTAATTCAGAAGAATGAGTGATAGACTGCAGTGACTCAAAGCAAAAGTCTCAGACGGATGTCACGGACACCCCTTTTCCACCGAAATGGTGCTGGTTCTCATGGCCAGTAAAAATGCAAACAACAAGAACATAGACTATGCAACTAGATAACCTGTCAAATAATTTAAACAGATTTCATCTTTTAAGTTTTAAGAAAATATTTTTAACATGCAAACTATTTAATTCAGGATTTTAAGACCTAGTTTTGACACACCTGTCAAAAATTATAACATCATGTAACATCTATATATATACATTGTGTAGTTGGAAAGAGTCAAATCAAGTACCTCATTCAACATATTTACATATAAACATGTTATTTTTTATTTTACACATTCATTTATGCCGTTTCCAGTTTCTGGTCCAAGACTAGCAAGTTTTAGGCGGTGATGTGTAGCCAGTTTTATTGCTTTGAACTGTGACATAACTAATCCAATCACTATAAATAATCAATAAAACCTCATGCGTGTTAACTTACCTGGGGCCTCTGCTTGTGCTGTGACTGGCTCTGTGTCTGACCCTGCGTCTGCTCCCAGTTGCCCCGGGTCCGGCTTCCGCCCACTGAAGTCATCATTTACAGTATATACAAATAACAGTATTTACAAAGGAATAACGCCTTTAAAAGAGAAATAGGTAGGAGAAATGTTACTGACAACTCGTCAAAAATAAACAACAACCATAAAAACATCATATGGTCTTGACAAGCCATATTAACATAAAACAAGCACGTTACACCTTGTGTGGCCATTTTGATAAGCCAAAACTGGAAGTAAACATCGTCACATGCCTGACGCTCTACCCATAAAAAGACGGCCCAAGTTTACAGGAACACCAACAGAAATTAAGTTCTAAGAATTTCGAAAGCTTTACGCAATTATCGCACGTGAAAAACAAGACCTTGTGATGTTTACAAGTCAAGCCGCAACAGGTCAACCATGCACGCGCTTCCGGAGCTCAACATCCTCGGCTAGTTTTTTTTTATTTATTTTTTTTACATCCTGTTAGTTTTCATTTCTTAAATTAAATTTAAAACACATACACACACAGCTTGAAATTTCGATAAAGTGACACCAAAAGCAATCCACCTGCTGCAAGTTGTGAAATATTGTGTGTGTGTGGTTATGCCAAACAGCCCAGTGTAGCTGCTCTGCGCATGAGGAAATGCAGGGCATGTGGTGGCCGAGAGACACTGCGCACTTTAGAAAGCAGCCAGCGTGACAGAAACACGCGGGACCAGCCGCGGGAAAACAGACGGACGACGTGCTTTAACGGACACATCTTAACAAAAACACCCTCAGCGGCCTCTGAACGGGGCGAGGGCGAGGACGAAACTGTCAAACTGAGACCATGTTGGAGACGTGAACACAATCACACAGTGCATGGGTGAAAGTGTCAGCACGTCATTTCATATTTCTTGAGCACTCACACCATTCCGTACTGTAATTAAAACACCTGATGTGCAAGTAGATATACAACAAGGGAAATGTCTAGGAATAGAAGCACATAAAAGGCATTCATTTCCATGCACTGGAACATAAAACATTACCTAAAGTATCCAATCTCTAAAATAAGCACCCAACAGGTAACCTACTTTACCTGTTGTGCTCTACATCCTGGGAATCCCATATTAACTCACCGGCTAAAACGGAAGCAAAACTGTAAACTATTAAACTTAGTTAATAATAGAAAAAAACCTTAAGAGATGAAGGACTATGATTGATAAGTCGAGACGATGGGCCTTGGAAAAGCAACTCGGTATAAACTCAAACATGCAGATCTAACGATACGATATGAACACATACACACGGTTTTGATATTCTTACAATATTGTTGATACGTTTAATAAAATAGACGAGATCTAACGTTAGATGATGAGTGGCTTCCGCTCTGGCCGCGTCTAATAACCTCATGGCCGGTTATCGGGCATCATGATGCTGCTGCTGGCCATAAATTAAGTTTTCCGGATGCTAATCAACTATATGGTTTCTCAGCGCAGTTGAAAGATTATGTGGGTTAGATTAATCGACACGATAATAATTTGCGTTTGCACAACTGGAAGGCACATGCCTCCCGGGGTGAGGCGCACTCCCGTCGGTTCACCTGTAGACTCGACACCGAGGCTTCACCGAGGCCTATAGGCCTCGAATGATAAAAATGAACAACAGGCGAGGTACTAACCAAAGACCCGGCTGGATGTCAGAGACGTGGAAATAACGCCGACCGACGGAGGCTTTCTTGTCGACCTCCTTATCAGACGGAAACAAAAAAAATTTCGCGTCCCAAATCGATTCCCCAAACCCGACTACAAGGCCGAACCGACTCGCGCAGACAATAAGCGAGAGACTCACAATTTACCTGTTTCTCTTCCACTCTGACACCCGGATCACCGCGTCACGTGGTTTATCACAGCCACTGCGGCTTCACGCTCAGAGCTCAACCACGTGACGCCAACGTACGCATGTATATATATATATACCAATAGTCTATAATAACAACTTAAACCAGAATTATGCAATATATAATGTTACCCTCTAGCTGTAGTTGGGTATTTGTAATGCAAAAGCCTACCTGATCATTGATACTGATGTCAAAAAATACTTATGACAGCCTACATATTCCGTGAATAAGGACCTTGAAACTAATTTTAAATTAACTTATTTATTTAGAATAAACAATAAATAAGAACAGAATAGGTAACATGGTTGCAAATGTAGCCGTAGGTCGGTAGGTTAACTTGTTTGGGACCAAGTCACCATTTACATACGAATCTTTTGATTAAAACTAGTTACTTGTAACCAGTGCTGGGTAGTAACTGATTACACGTAATCTGGATTATGTAATTAGATTTGAACAATTAAGTATTTGTGATTAGATTAATTCAATTTTAAAGTGTTCATAAACAGATTACAGTTACTTTTTTGTAGATTGCATATTACACAATGGCAATAAATAATTCATAATGAATTTATTAGCCCTAATTTTTATTTTTTTTGGCGGGTGAGGAATATCTTCAAACTACAGAGATTTGATTATAAGACTACGCATAGTGGCATTAACAACTGTGTCAAGCTTTGCTTGTATTTTCAGCAATCTGTTCGAATTTCATGAGACAGCAGCATTTGTTTAAGTGCAGAGATACATCACTAGATGTCGCTAGTGGTCTGAGTTCTTCCGAGCAAGTGCGTGCACACAGACGCTCACTTGTGTGTGTTCACTGCTGTGTGTGTGTGTACTTAGGATGGGTTAAATGCAGAGCACTAATTCCAAGTATGGGTCACCACACTTTGCCACAGTCACAATATTTATACAATGGCTGCATTATCAGTATTTATGAATACTGAATATCGAATACTGCATTATCAGCATTCATTTCATTTGCATTTCATTTCACATGAAACAGATATTGACAGATCTGTAGATCACCACTTACATCTACTACTATTAATAAAGTTGCTTAAGGTACAAACACGCAGTATATGATCTGCAAATCAATTATATTTATATTTATGTATTTATATTATACAAAGCACCTCAAGTGCTACTCGTGATAAACAGAGGGATGTTGCATAAACGTTGAGAGAGAAGGAATACTTGTTACTTCTTTTACAATGTGTCTCTCACTCAACCACTCTCTCTCTTCATCAGCTGTCTTCATCTGTTGTTCAGGACTTGATCTCGACCACTTTAATGAATGGCATAGATTTGTTTCCAGGGCTTGTGGGCATCAGAGGTTTGCTATAATACAAAATGACAAATACTTTTTTGAATAACCAAATGCCTTGTCCAGAATGTTTTTATTGCTTTTGCAATATTTCTCATACTTGGTGCTTTTGAAGCTTGATAGACATGGTCAAAAACCACATGGTTTTATGATGTATAAATGAGGAGATAGGTTGTAAGTATTTATTATAAGAAAGAAATACCTGTAGACAACCTTGGACCCCATGTCTGAGTTATATGGTTTAGACACTTGGTTGCCCAAATAAAACTCCATCCGGTCATGGATCTCTCTGTTCTGTAGGGTATATTTGATATGTTACAGTCGCACAGTAAAAAGTAGAAAAAATAAAGCAGCTCTTTGAAATAACTCAGGCGCTGACCTCAGCTTCGAGGAAAGCCACCCTCTCTTTGAGGTCTCCGATCAGCCGGTCTCTTTGCTCCATTATGGTTCGTGAATTTTGCACCTGGTAACATATTTGGACATATAAATGTATTAATGCAAGCACTTATCACATTCAAACTGATTTTAAGGTTTAAAATAAAGTTGAAATAAAACTTGAATAATCTACAGAAAAATCCAATAGAGCTGGATTTCTGAAGCATAATGCTTTGCTTGCATCTGTGATTTCAGTGTTCATGGATGAAGCCATTATGTGTAACATGAGATCTAAAGTGCACCGAGGTTAAGCAGCAGGGAAATGACAGAATATTTTATTTATGACTGAGGTTGAGTTTCACTTCTCATCTCTGAGCAAACACTCTATATAATGCACGACCTGTTTATTTTTGAGAATCTCTAAAATCTTTCTGGTGTTTTTTAATTTTACCTTGTCCTCTCTCCTTCTTTTTTGTTCTTTATGAGCATATTTCTTTAATTCAGCATGGGTATTTTATCTATCTATCTATCAATCTATATCTATCTATCTATCTATATATATATATGTGTGTGTGTAAATATTAAAAAAATACGTACAGTATATACATACAATTAATTTTAATAAATTATGTTTTTAAAATAAGTCAAATTATAAATGTTTAAATCATTTAAATATTTAAAAATATGGTTATACCTACATTAAAAAAATTGAAATGTTTTTTTAAATGTAAATAAAATAAAATAATTATTTAATTTTATTAAATTAATTTTCAATTAAATATTTTTAATTATTAATTTATTTTATTTAATTTTCCTTTTAAATTATATTCATATATTATTTAATTGTATTAATACATTTTAAAAAGTACTGTTTAAATTATGATTGATACATTTATACATAGCCTCTCTCCTCTCACTACATTTTTCATGATCACGCCCTCAATTTTTCATCATTGAATATAAATCAAAATTACATTACATATATAAAATGGTATGCAAATGTCATTTAATGATTGGTCTCTGTGATTGGGTGTTTCTCCAAATATCCACAGTAATTATTACCTGTTCGATCATGTTCCTGACTTTCCTTTGTTGACTTTTGAGCATGTCATCTAAGTTGTGATTCTTATCCTTCAGAGTTACCAGCTCCTTTTTCAGTTGTTCAGACCTGCAGTACAGAAAACCTGTATGTTACACGTCTACACACTCACAAATGACACTTACATGCAACACAGAAGCAACTAGCAACGTAGAGGGTGAGTCTACTTTTAACGTATGAGAATCAGTCAAAGTCGAATTCTATGTGAGAGGCGTGACATTGAAAGATGAGTTTCTATGGCAGCACAATGCAACTTAATAGAGCTGTAATTAGGCCAATTTATTGCTTACTAAATTGCAGGTGGAAAATATTTAAAGTAGCCAAGGAAACATTAAACATGAAAGCAAGGCATTATGTATAGCATACTAAATTGCAGGTGGAAAATATTTAACGTAGCCAAGGAAACAGTTAAACATATGAGAACTATGCATTATGCTATCCTATTACTTGTTTCGCTTCTGTTTCAGTTTTTATAACCATTTCTTACTATGTGTAAGTAAGTTGTTGTTTTTTAGCATGTGTGTTTGGCAGTGTTATTTTTTAGGATTTACTGATAAACTACTGTCATTTGATTTGTATTATTTGTATTTGTTATTTATTTTAATTTGAGTTAAATTATGTCTGAATTTATTATGTCTGTATAGGTCTTTTATTAAGTTTTTA